AGTGTTGGGAATTCGAAACAATCAAATCGAATCCGTGCCCCTCCGGACCTTGTGTTTGAGAGTAGAAAAGTAGGAAAATCACCGCAAATAAAAGATAAAACTTGTAGGAAAGTAAACAAGAAAGAATACACAAGATTTAACGAGATTCGGCAACGTGCCTACGTCCTCGGGAGCCACACCACATAATTCTTTGATTAATTTGAAAAAAGATTACAAGCTAACAAACTAGGATTTAATCTCTCTGAGGTCTCTCTAAAGAATCCTCTAAAAAAACTCTCTTTTTGATGCACACAAAACCCTAAAATCGTTTAGGTATATATAGGAATCCCAGCCCAAACAGAATACAAAACAGATTAAGAAACAGAAAAATCCCGTCGCGGTCGACCGGGCTTGGTCTCGCGGTCGACTTGCCAGAGCATTGATTCTGCACCCTGCACGGTGCATGTTTGCGGTCGACCGGACCAGTTGCTGCGGTCGACCGAGCAGAGAGGTTGTTTCTGCTTAGTCTGCTACAGGCTTTGCGGTCGGCCGGACGGCGGTCGACCAACCCGACTGTTTCCTTTTTTCTTCATCTTCTTGATTCCATCTTTGGGTCTACACACTTAGACTAACACAAAGCTTGGAATGTTACCATTTGAACCAGGAACTGGCAAGACTCTTAGTAAATATATCTGCTAGGTGATCAGACGAGGGAACAAAACAAACACGTAAAAGGCGATGAGTAACTCTTTCACGTACAAAATGATAGTCTATTTCAATATGTTTAGTGCGAGCATGAAATATGGGGTTTGCCATAAGATAGATTGCAGAGAGGTTGTTGCACTAGAGAGTGGGTGAAGAATGTAAGGAGACACCGAGATCTTTCAACAATGACTGCACCCAAATTAGTTCGGCAGTAGCATTGGCCAAACCTTTATACTCAGATTCTGTGCTTGATCGTGCCACTGTACGTCATTTCTTAGCACTCCAAGAAAGAATATTTGTGCTGAGAAAATTCCAAAACAACTCACAAATCTTTGATCATCCAGGTTTCCTGCCCTATCGGCATCGATGTAGGCATGAAGAGTGTTAGGAGACAATGGTGTGAGATGAAGGCCCATCAGAATAGTCGACTTCAAATAGCGAAGGGTGCGTTTCATAGCAACCCAGCGAATTCAAGTTGGATGGTGTATAAATTGACAAACTTGATTGACAACAAATTAATGTGATATCCGGACGAGTCAACGTTAAATACTATAAAGCACTAACCACACTATGATATTTTGAAGGATTATCAAACAAATCACCATCATGAAGGGATAACTAATAACTTGAAGCTAGCAGTGTGGCTACAGGTTTAACTGCAGTCATTTTTGTATGGGATAAAATATCTGAAATAAATTGAGACTATGTGAGAAGTAAGCCAGATGAAGTGGGCTTAGCCTCAATACCCAAGAAGTAGTGCAATGGACCGAGATCCTTCTTGGCAAACTCAGTTTGGAGAGAACTAATCAGGCTCGGAGCAGTGAGAGAACCTGTAAGAATGATGTCGTCAACATAAACCAGAAAAAATACTACATACGAGGTTGTCCGGTGAATAAATAAGGAGGAATCAGCTTGAGAGCATACAAAACCAAGTACATTTAGAAATTGACTTAGCCAAGTAAACCATGCTTGTGGGGCTTGTTTTAGGCCATATAGAGATAGAGGCGGCATACAAAGTTTGGATGAATAGAGTCAAAAAACCCTAATGGTTGTTTCATGAAAATACTTTCATCAAGATATCCATGTAAGAATGCATTCTTAACATCGATTTGTTGGATAGACCAACCATAGGAGAGAGCAATAGATAAAATAGTATGAATACTAATAGTCTTAAAAATAGGACTGAAGGTCTCATCATAATCAACACCATTCTATTGAGAGAAGCCTTTAGCAACCAAGCGGGCTTTATACCGCTCCACTGAGCCATCAGGACGACACTTCACCTTAAACATCGATTTATGTCAAATAACATGTGTAGAGGATGCCAAGGGACAAGTTCCCAAGTACCGTTAGAGATCAAAGCATTGTATTCATCAGTCATGGTTGTATGCCATTGCGGGTCATGATTAGCTTGAGTGAAACATGTAGGCTCAATGTGATCAGCTTGGACAATAAATGCTACCGGATACTTATTCTCAAATAATCGCTGCTTTAGGGTGCCATCTTTTGATCAAGTCACCATAGAATTGTTGGAAATTCGTGCTAAATACATGCAAAATACACAACGGAAGACTGTATATATAATAATACTAAACATGTAGAGAGCATGAAAAACAAGCTAGGATCATCCTAATTAAATCTAACATGATCCATATATTAAAGAAAGCATACAAGAATTAGAAAGTCATACTTTCGAAGCGTGATTCGGTAGAAGATCGAACAACCCCTAGCTCTTGCTCCTTGTTGTTGTAAACCTCCTTGTAGTGGATCTCCAAGTGTTCAAGTGAGCTTGATAAAATCGGAGTCTTCTTGAGACACAAGGCAAGATATCCACCCCGGGGTACTATAAAATCCTACTACTTACTCTTACTCAAAGATTGATAGAGTTTAGTAAGAGGTAGATCTCTCTTTTTTATTTTCTTATGGAAAAAACCACTTAGCCATTTTTTTATTAATCTTTCCATAAGAGAGAGAGAGAGAGAGAGAGCTCATATATATAGAGTGGGATATGTCATGACTCATCTCATGAGTCATGCTATGAGTCATCTAAATGTAATAATTCTTTTCATGAGTCATACAATGACTTATCTCATGAGTCATGCAAAGAGTCATGAAGAATCAAAACTATGTGCTAAAACCATGTTTCCAAACCATACCACCTTAATGACTCATCTCATGACTCATTAATCAAGGTATAATGAAGTGTGTATTTTATAAATAAAAATACCACATCAATATGGTATTTCATAAATACGATATTTTGTAATTTTTCAATTATTGACTAATAAGTCATCATATGACCAAAAATTCAACGAGTTGACCAAAAGTCAACTGTTGACTAAAAAGTCAACTAGTTGACTAAAAGTTAACTTTATGGGGAAAATACAGGAATTTATTTCCTAAGCACATAACATTCTGATTTTACCGATATACATAATCTTTTATGTGTATCGGTAAAATCATATATGTGTATCAATCATACACATTAACTTTATAAATTATATTTCATAGGATTCAAGTACGTACTTGGTGTGACTCTAGGGCCCAACTTAAGACTCGGTAGTGGATCATATCCACAAGTACAACAGAGGTGCTAGCTACACATAAAGACTACCCGGGTATAAGTTGTGATAAATATCTGCAAGATGCTTACACAATTTTATCAGGACCACTTAGTGATAATATCGTACAGTCCGGTCTTTTCGTCAAACCATGTCAAACTATTGAGACTAGGGTATGAAAAACTATCAAACCCTAATTGCTCAATTAGTGTTTGTTGATATTAAACTCATAACCTATAAGATCAAACTGACACTTAGTTTATCTTATTTACCTCGGCCAAGGATTTCCAGCTTATAGTTATATCAAACAATCTTATGACATCAACCCTCTATACTGGGAGAAAAGAATCCCATCTTGGCATCTTAATATCTACTTATGTCTCGGGATGCACCCAACAAGAACCGTTATGTACAACTCAATGAGAACTGCGGTTAGGTAAAAGTCTAAGTACACCTATACTGATATGTAAGATATTGCACTCATGTCTTAGGTCAAGAGACTACTTTGTACTATATCACTTGAGAACTTCTATTTGACAGTTAAGTATAATTACCAACTAGATGATCTCAGTGAGTCGTTCAGTCAACTCATTCACTAATGAGTCACCTGTATACTATATATTGATGTCTCACATCAATGATCTAAGAGATGGATCATGGTCATTCCAAAGGAGAAATAGAGTATACACTAGGCTTCCCAAAGTGATATCCCTTTTCAACACTTTATCGACTAGGAACATTTTAGAATATACGTTAGCGACAAATTAGATCTCTTTATTACGATCAAATTCGAAATGTCTGATAGTCTAGTATCATTCTAAGAACTTTATCTATATTTAAAAATACCAGATAAATTTGACCAAAATAGCATACTATCATTTTAAACAATGACGTTATACTCGTATAGGTCCTGTTACAATATATAATTATTGTCTGTAGGGTACCTATATCTAACACACTCCCACTTGCACTGAGGCCAATCATTGTAGTACCTAATACCCAATAGCTCAACAAATTTTTCAAATTGTGTACGAGCAATTGCCTTTGTTAATGGATCTGCTATATTATCTTTTGTGTCAACTCTTTCAATCTTGATCTCTTGGCGATCAACTATCTCCCTGATCAAGTGATACTTCCTCAGAAATGTGTCTGGACTTATGGTGAGACCGGGGTTCCTTTGTCAGAGCTATTGCAACATTACTATCACAGTATAAAGGTACTAGATCTTTAATGGTGGGAACAACTTCTAGCTCTGAAAGGAACTTTATCATCCAGACAGCTTCTTTGGCTACATCATTTGCCACAATGTATTCGGCTTCCATAGTAGAGTCTGCTATTGTGTCCTGCTTGGAACTTTTCTAACTGACAGCCCCTCTATTGAGGGTGAAAACATATCCTGAAATAGATTTACTATCATCGATATCGTTCTGAAAGCTAGAGTCGGAAAAAACATCCATTTGGAGGTCACTTTT